TTTCCCTCTAATCACAGGAAATGCCTCTCCACAACTTACAACTAAATCCTTATCTCAATTAAGAGCATCATTGGTCCTTTGTGTCTTCTGCACCCAGCAACAGCTTGACTTTTTCAGGCATTCTCTGCTTAGTTTTTTAGCCTTCCACTGTACACAGCTTTAGAATTGGAAAATGTCTTGTAAAGGAGATGGGCTATGTGTTTAAGACCACTCAAGTCTCCAATTGTGTCATTCTCTACTCCTGGATTTGCAGTTTCTAGTTAAGACCAAGAGCACTGGTGTAGCTGCATGATAAGCACTGGACTGCTAACCACAAAATCAGCAGTTCAAACCCAGGGACCAGCTATAAACAGTTGGCATGAGTCAGAATCGACTCTATGGCACAAACATAGTTGTTGTTGTTAAGTACCAACGAATCAGTTCCGACCCATAGCAACACTGGATAGGGTTTCTAAGGAGTGGCTGGTGAGTTTACAGTCTGGTGCATTAACCCACAGCGCCACACCAGGACTCCTCAAGTAGCCCAAGTAAAGCCAGCTGCAGATCACTAGCATCAATTTACCCCTGCACTCAGGGATTTCAGCTCTCATCATTCACGTTCTAAGAGTACTCTTCCCATTGTGCCCAGCACAGCACTCTGCCTTCAAACCATCTAAAAAAATGGAAACTCCTATTCTGTTTTTTTAGAAGAATCCAGTTTAGCTCTTTGGTATCCCACATTCAGAACTGAGGAGGGATGTGATTTTTAGGCCCACTCAAGACTCCAATTTTGTCATCCCAACCATGGAAAACATTCAAAACTTCTACTGCATTCTTTGTTCCCAAGAAATTTTTCCAATTTATTTGGCTTTCCAACGGCTAAATCTCAAACATAGCTGCAGGGTCTAATAAGGCCAAAAGTCGACTATATTTTAAAAACACTAAATTCAGATTACATTTAAAAATTCAAGCCTAAACACAATTTATTGCGTTGTTGTTGTTGTTAAGTGCTGTCGAGTCGATTCCAACCCATAGTGACCCTGTATAGGGTCTCCAAGGAGCAGCTGGTGAGCTTGAACCACCGATCTTACAGTTCAAACGACTTTGCATACCGACGCATTAGCCCACAGCTATGCTAATATATGTGTTCAATAAATCATTTGTCTTTTAGTAGGGTTTTTGTCACTAGGTATATTCCAAAAGATACATATTGGTGCTGAGTTTAACATATAGTCAAAGTGAGTGATCCAGTTTTGTCATTATACAAAAATTTATAAAGTCCAACACTAACTAAAAAATATTATAAACATAGATTTTAATTTTGTATAGAATTAATAATGATGAAAGAGATCAGCTTAACTGCAATTAAGCAAAGAATACCTTATTTTTCATATGAATGTTTAGCTATAGGACTCTCTTCTCTAAAATTATGTCTAAATCCTGTTACAAAGCTAAGTATTCAATTATTTCACTTTTGCTACATACAAGGAAAACAAGATGTACCATGATCAGCAATGAAGAGAGTCACAAATAGAAGCTGGCCCTCACTGTCCTAACTAGAAGGTCATCAACTAAAAAATAACATGATGAAATCATCGCAACATAAAACTAAAAAAAGATGCTAACAAAGTCAGGTTTGATGCATCACTTTCTCATTTAGTAGATGTCTCTAATCTCTTTCATCCACCTCAGGAGGAAAAGAGCCCTAAGGAAATTAGATCTGCAACCAGTAGACATAAAAGAGGTCTCTACATAATCAAAGTAGATAGATAGATAGATGATAGATAGATAGATAGATAGATAGATAGATAGATAGATAGATAGATAGATAGAGATAGAAATATAAATATTGTTGTTATTGTTAAGTATCATCAAGTCAGTTCCAACTCATAGCGACCCTGTATAAGGTTTCCGAGGAGCGGCTGGTGAATTTGAACCTCGATCTTGTAGTTCAAACAGATCTTGCGGTCTAGCATATTATCTTTTTGATAGATAACTCGGTGTTTGATTTAAATTTAAATGCCCCCTTCTTTCTTCCTCTACCTTTCTTTCTATGTTTTCACAGTCACCAATTTGTGGTATTATCATTATTTTTTACTGTAAGCTGCTATCACTCCTTTTTAGATGTTGTTGTTGAATATCGTTGAATCGGCTCCAACTCACAGAAATCCTATATAGGGTTTCTGGGCCTGTAAATCTTTGTAGGAGCTGAAAGCCTCATCTTTCTCCCACAGAGCAGCTGATGGGCTCGAACTACCAAGCTTGTGGCTTGCAGTTCAGTGTTTATTGCAAAGAATCGCCATGCTCCTCTTTTACATGTAGAAGATACATAAATAAGTAAATTCAGTTCTAAAAGTCTCTACCGTGACACTACTAACAGTACCCACCTACTTGTGACAGGAGTCCTGGTGTGGCGCTGTGGGCAATGTGTCAGACTGCAAAGTCTTTTGGACTTCAAGGTTAGTAGTTCAGGCTCACCAGTTGCTCCTTGGAAACCCTATACAGGGTCACTATGGGTCGGAACTGACTCAACAGCACTTAACAACAACAACAATCTGTGACAGACATCATGGAGGCACCATTCACACTATAAATACAAAGCTCAGGATAAGCAGATAGGCACTATGACTATGCCAGCTCTGCTATAAGCACTATCAACTCCAGTTTAACTATCATTAGGAACATTTCGCTATTTGATAGATAACTTGGTGTTCGATTTGATTTGATAATGAGAGCAAAAAGCATTAGATTATTATTTCAATGCAGTTAAAACAAAAACTCAATCTGAAATAGTGTTACTATTTATGGAAACTACAAATATAAGGGCTGAAAATATTGTTGAAACCATTTGTAACCATGTCAAGTGTTTATATAGAGTCAAGAAAGTCTACAGAAACATTTACTAAATTTCTAAATAATGTACTAAATTATAAAACAACTTTCACCCGAAAACACCTCATGCTATACTTTTATAGTAGTAGATTATATCAGTAGATTATTTTACTGTAAATCACTTAAGAAACAGCCTGTGAAAGCTATGAGAATGCCAAAACTCTAAGTAACAGTAAATGTAAAATAGCCTAGGTTTAGAACTCTTTTGGCAGAGCAGAAAACCAAGAATAAAGGCTTAATCCATGAAATTGTTAGATATGTAAGACTATCACACACACACAAAGAGTTTATTATTGTTACGTGCCGTCAAGTTGGTTCTGACTCATATTGACCTTGTGTTGGATTTCCGAGAAGCAGCTGGTGGGTTTGAACTGCTGACCTTGTGATTCAAAGGGATCTTAAGGTCCAGTGCTTATCCTACAGTCACACAGCCTCTCTTATACCAATACATCAATCGATGCACTTTAACTTATTTAAATGGATACTGGTTGCAGACAAGTAATTGGGAACTAAATTATATTCTTCAGAGGAAACTATGTGAATCCTATTCAAAGCAAGAATAATATCAATCTAATCAGGCAAAGCTCGAGACTACTGAGATAGAAAACCGTAAATCAGCAGCCAGAATCACATATGACATCATTCAAACTAGAATCCACAGTATTAAGGTGATGCAAAGAGTTATTTAAAAAAAAATAATCCATCCCCATCTGTTTTGGAAAGAAGACAAATGAAAATTCAGCCAAATCATTACCTGACTAAATTAAGGCTAGCTATCAGACCATAACCAATAAGAAGTTAAAATCACAGCTGACCTCACTACCCCTGATATGCTTTGTTCTTTGCTCTACTCCATTATTCACATAACTCAACCTGAGCTAATTCCATGAAGGACACAGTTTTATAAGATTTTAAACACAGAGAATATGGAAGACAAAAAACTCTAAAAAGATTGGCTTCCTGAGCATACAACACACATTCTTTTTCAACCCCAGTTTAAAACTTTTAAATAAGTTGAAAATGCTCACAAAGCTCACATTCCTAAACAATCATTTGCAAGTATGCAACAAATCTGACCCAGATATTGAGGAAATAATGTTCTGTCAATCATGAAATACAGTACACAGGTAGTTCCCGACTTAACAATAAATTTAAGGTGAGCCACACTTATAACCAATCGGCTTTTTGTTTTGTTTTTTATTATACAACCTGTCATAATATGTGGAGTCCTGGTATGACACTGTGGGTTAATGCACCAGACTGCAAAACCATTTAAACTGCAAGGACAGTGGTACAAGCTCACCAGCTGTTCCTCAGAAACCCTATACAGGGTTGCTATGGGTTGGAACCGACTCAACAGCACTTCACAACAACAATATCATCATAATATGCACTGCATATAATGTTTGTAGTGCATAATTTGCTGATGTAATTCTCAGGTGTTGTTCCAATTCTATAGATTTACTATTTCATTTTCAATTTTATGACTTACTGTTCAAAACACTGCCTTGTAGAAGACAGGTACACTGAAGAATAAAGAAAGAATGAAGAAGGGGAGGGAGAAATGTTCAAAAAACTTTTACAGTGAAAGAATTAGCAGAAGTTTTTTCTAAAGTAAATCAGGAGCTTCAGTTGCTTGAAACATGGACCCAAATGCGAATCACTTTGCTAAAGTTGATAAACAGATTTGAGAAGCAGGGATATGTCACCACAAAACATATGAAGAACAAAAGAAAAAGGACCATATAGACAACTGTCACTAACTATCTGACCAGAAACACTATCTTCATTCCTGGGGGCAGTCCAGATGATCCGGACCCTTCAAAAGTGGCGATATTACTGCAATTGGCAAAATACTAATATCGTTCAACTCTTTATCATCTGAGTAAAGTTTAATGATTTGTGTATTTTTGTATGTATGAATGTATGCATTATAAAAATATACCTATAAGTTTGTTTATATGTAATGCTTCCAACCTCCAAAGACAATACTGACAAATAAACGTAAAAACTAAATTACTAAAAAAATAAATTAAAAGAAAAGAGGTATTTAACTCACATCAGAATCAACTCATGACAGAGTCATCAGAACAGCCCACATCAAAAGGTGGGGCGACCCGCATTCATACCTTGCAAACTGTATCCACATCCCAAGGTATTATAGTCCTCAGATCAATTATTTCACAAGACACTCCAAGCTTTTCCTGTGCCATTGAAGCCACCTCTCGGATCACATGAACCTGAAATGAGAGAAATATATATCCAGAGAATGACTACATGGATTCAGCCCTTGAAAGCCAATAAAATTCTGACACTATTAATACAGAACGTGTTTAAAGTCAGAAGAATTAATCTGTATAAAGAATTAATGATCTGGTTATCACAGGCTATATCCAATATTCTACCAAAACAATCAAACAAAGAGATCTAAAAAGCAGTTAGAAAATATGGTCTTGGAAAAAGGGAAAGAGGTCGGTGCCAAATAGATATTCTAAAGCTATCAACATAAACAAATAAAGCCACAGAAGTAAATGTGGTGGTTTCTAGAGAAAGAATGTAGAAAGAGAAGGGAAGTAATCACAAAACCCTGCAGATCATCAATATTTAGAGGGAAAACAGAGAAAGAGAAGCTTACTAAATAAGAAAATCTAGACATAGTAAGTAGATTCTAGAACCTAAAGAAGTAAAGGTTTCATGGACAGAGTTGTTGTTATTGCCGTTGCTGCTGTTGTTAAGTATCATCAAGTTGGTTCCGGCTCATAGGCACCCTGTACAAGGTTTCTTATGCTATAAATCTTTGAGGGAGCAGAAAGCCTCATCTTTCTCCCATGGAGCACTTGGTGGACTCGAACCTCAATTTTGTGGTTCAAAGTTTAGTGCTTTTCTTACAGAACCACCGTGCTCCATAAAAAGAGCAATTGTGTCATATACCACAGTGATATAAGATCAAGGATAGATTTAACAATTAGAAGATTAGATGTGCTACAAGAACAGCTTTAATAAATTAGTGAGACCAGAACTAAAGGTACAAGAGCATCAGGAAGTTACGGAATTAAATACAGGCAATAAAAACTATTTGTTCAAATTTATTAATAAAGGTAAGAACGGAAACAAACTAGGGTGGAGAAAAGATGTTTTAGAGAGTGAAGAGATATGTAATTTCTTAAAAAAGGAACACGGGAAAGAGAAATTGAAGATGCAGGAGAGAGTAGGACTGACTAGTTGATGGGTTACGATGCTGACAAAGTAAAATAGGATGCAATTCAAAACAGATGTAAAGAGGTTAGCTAGAAAAAAAACAGACGGCTCTTCTTCAAAGGCAAAAGGGAAGGAGAAAAGGATTAGGCAGCAGATGTCATAGGTGAGAGCTAGTATTTAAGGCATTCTAGTTTCCTGACTAAAAATAGAAACAAGGTCACATGCTAGGGCAGATGAGGAATGTGGATTAAATAAAAGACTTAAGGAGAACAGAGTCCTAGCATGGAACCGCAAGATAAGCACTGGAGTACTACCAACAAGATTAGCAGTTCAAACCCAACAATCACTCCTCAGAAACCCTATCATAACTGACTTAATGGCACTCAACGACAACAAGGAGAACAGAAAAGGTTTGTAACAATCAGCATGGGTACTACCAGTGGAATGCAACTAGCCAACATGCACAATTATCCTATTGGAGGTTAGAAACAGGAAGAATAATTCTCCAAAGATAAAATGGAAAAGAGCTTGTGATATTGCAAATAATTCTCACTACCTTCTTTATACAACACTGCACTTAATTTTCTAAGCCAGTGGTGCCTTTGTATAGAAATCTAAAAGCCCAGTATTTCTTCAAAAGAAATTGAGGTAGAAGTGTAAGAAGAAACTATGGCAAGAGAACAAAAGCTTAACAGTTTGAAGGGAGAGAAAAGTGACAAGCTCTGGGAAAATCTGATCAGTGGAGAAGTTTAGTGGAAAAGAAAAAGGTCTAGAATTCTAAGGCTAGAACACGTATCTGCATGGCCAGCAAAGCAATCACAAGACATGGCAGAAACTAAGATGAAAATCCAGCACCAAGAAATGAGAGTATGCAACATGTACTTCAAAACAAAGGGTTGGTAATACGTTTTTATAAACCCTCAATGCATTTTTAATGACTTCACCATATGCCTATATATTTTAATATGGCTGAGTAAGTAAAAACAGTACCAAATACAGACATGGCACCAAAGCTAAACAGACTTAATTTGAGATACAAAGATGATAACATTATTTTCAATTCTTCACAGTACCATGCCTTTCAATGGCAGCTTCCAAGCATTGGCATGGACATTAACTGTTGGGACAAATGTTACTACTGACCTGCGTTCCCCAGGCAACTAGAGTAACATCACTCCCTTCCTGTATGACTTCAGCCTGGGACAGCGGGATGTTGTATGGTTCTACAGGAACCTGTTCCACTGAATAAATAACAGAAAGAAAACATGTAGGATTCGTTATTTTTTCCTCATGTGACATTTGTGCACAAAAATATTATAATCTCATTGTGGTTAACTTTTATTTTATTTATCTTTTCCAAATTGACTAAGTTATTCATAACTTTGTTATATGGCTCCATGACATTACTACAGCAATATATAAAATATATCAGCTATCCTGGAACAGAAAAAAGCGCTTTTATAGAATTTTTTAAAATTTTAATAAAGTCTAGACTCTAGTCAATAATCATGTGTCGGTACTGGCTCATTAATTATAACAAATAAACCATACAAAGACATAAGATGCTAAGCATAGGGGAAACTGGGTACAAGATATAAGCAAACTCTGTACTAAACCTATAAATTTTTCTATAAATCTAAAACTGCTCTAAAAATTACTACATATATTTTTTTTTATTTTAAATATAGCTGCTAAAACTTTACTGGAATGAATTAAGCTCTCACACAAGTTTTCTATCAAAAGTAAATTTATAGTAGACAGTGAAAAGAAAACAAAGCATATAGTAGGGCCAAATCCTTAAGTACAATTTATTTTTGTGCCATGTATCCATATGAACACTTTATTAGCCACATATCTATATCATGTATCTGTATCAACTATAGCAGCTGGCAGTATCTTAATTTTCAAAGCTGTACTATAGCATATTCAAAACTGAAACGAAATCAGAATAATCAGAGCTGAATGCTGAAGCTGAAAGTTACAACAGAATCAGTTCCACCAATTTAAAAGGAAGTATAAACAACTGGCAACCCAGAGAAAATAATTTCACAATTTCTCTAAGCAACCTAGTACATGCAAATTATATGACAAATTTTAAGAAATAATTGACAAAAAGTCTATGAAACTGGCCAGCTATGCTGGGAAATCTCTTTGAGTACTATGTTAAGAGCAGACTAAAAGTGGAGGGGCTGGAGAAAATTGTTCTTTTGTTCATTTTCCCCATAGGCTTTATATTATCACTGTTCTATAAACTATTTTAAAAACTCAAAAATAGTACAGATGAGTAAAGTAAAAGGCTCCCTCTGTCCCACAAATAGTCCTTCCAACTCCATTTTCCAGAAAGCTAAGAAGTCTAATAATTTCCAGGTATCTGCAGTGAACAGCTCTTACTCTTTCTGGTGTCTAAACTTCTAAATACACAGACTTGCAATATTTGGTAAGCCCTCCCACCCTATGATGCAGGGCTCTTCATTCACTACAGAAGGGAATTGCACATACTCAGTTCCCTAGCCTCCCTTGCAGCTAGGATGTGAAACCTGGAGCCTGCCAATCAAATATACCCATCACACATGATTCTGAATTGGGTAACAGATGACACAAAAGAGCAACTATCCAGAATCCACACTGGCATGCTAGTAGCAATATGTTGTTGTTGTTAAGTGCCGTTGAGTCGATTCTTACCCATAGCAACCCTGTATAGGGTTTCCGAGGAATAGTAGTATAGGTCGAGCCAAAGTCCAGGTCAGTGATATCACTGATGTAATACCATGCCCACAGACAGCTACCGAGGCATCCTTTCAGAATCAGTTACACAGTGAGATCTGGAGTATTGCTTCTAGATATACGGTCTCTAAGCCCGCTTCTCAGACATGCCAGTCATCTGTGAGCTATGTATAATCCTCAACACAAACTCTGCTTAAACTAACCAGAGTTTATTTCATTTGCTTAAAAACTAAAAACGAGACAGATTCATTTTGTTTTCCTATATCTACAACATGCAGACAAAACCACATGGTTTAAAGTATCACTGTGATTGGATGGCTCCGACAAGAGCACATTACAAGGTTCAAAAGTAAATTAGTGTGGTGTTTCAGCCTTGTATCAATAGGTATATTTAATACATGTAAGCTGAGCTTACAAAAAAAAAAAGTTTTTCTTGTCATAACTAACTATGGGGATATTTTTATTTAAAAAATAAATTTCTGCTGTTAACACTAGGAAAAATTTTATAGTCATTTTGGTATCACCCACTCCCTGACATGACACCCACTGCAGTCTACACCTCTCTAGTGATGCCAGTGCCTGGCTTTCCTGACTTACAAATCAGTTACCAATTGGTGATGAGCAAATCCCTAAAGCGTATACCCTAAGGGCTAGCAAACCAAAAGAAATAATAGTATCTTGGCTCACCTCCTTAGAAAAGTGGCCAAGAAGTGACTAACAACTTCACTTTTTAAAATAAATTACTCCGAAATAAGTCTTCATTACTTGAATAATTAGTTAAGGGGCAATGTAGCAAACAAAGTTTTGTTTGCTATCAAATACATACACATATGTATACATATTTTTGTTGTTGTTGTTGTTAAGTATCATTAACTCAGTTCCGACTCATAGCAACCCTGTATAGGGTTTCCAAGGAGCAGCTGGTGGGTTTGAACCACCGACCTTGCAGCTCAAACTGACCTTTCAGTC